TGCCCAGGCCAGGTGCAAAGGGTACTCCCAAAAGCCCATCTGGAGATCCGGGCCTCCTCTCAAGGAAATAGGCTTGAATGATGTCACTGGGCACATGGAAACTTTTTGCATTGTGCAGTTCCCAGTGGTAGAGGTGGCCCTGCAAGTGTGCCTGAGGTCAAGCTCCTTGGAATTCAGCTCCATCCCCCCATTCCACCTGGAAGGGTGGGCATTCCAGACACCTCACTCCCTCCTGCAGGTTCAGGGCATATCTTCCTGTAAGAAAACAAGCTGGCATGGTTGGTGGGCATCACCTGCAGACCTCACATCCCAAATCCACCCGTCCATCCCAGATAGTGCTTCTCCTGCTGAGCCCCACAATGACTGAGGCCCTGCTGTGACGGCTGCCTCCTGGAAGGCCTACCAAACCCTCTCCCAAGTCCCCACCCAGAAGAATATTCTCTCCAGAGCTTGGCCCTCTTCAAGCCTTCAAGAAGGGCTGAGTCCAGTTCATCCCACGTAGTCAGGGTAGGTCTGGGTCCCAGCCAGGCCCAGGAAGACCTTCCATACAAAGCAGTGAGCCTCTATTTTCTCCATAAGGCCCTGACCAGGCCTGCAGTGCCCAATCTTACCTGGGGAGTTAGTGTGGAAAGATCTTCAGACCAGAGCTTTTCTGAATCTGGGGGCTCTGCCCCTGCACCTGTCCAGCCATGACCAAGATGGAAAGCTTGGGGGATGATCCCTCAGCTGCATACACCTGATCCTCTGATAGAGGGTCCAGCCCAGCTCTGCACCCACACCTATCCAAGCACACATCGTCTGGGCACATCAGCTGGGAAGTGGTGTGAGGCAGCAAAAACCCCTCCCCCAGGCACTGTGGGTGGCGGGCCTGACTGATGCCCTTTCATCATTGCACTGCTTCCCAGAGGCCTACAGTAGTGCAACAGGGAAAGAGTGTCAGGCAAGCCTGCCAGCGCCTCCCCCTTGGTGGTCGGTGGAGATCCGAGACCTGGAATGCAGGGCCACTGGGGCGGGGCCTCTGCTTGGGGGAAGGGTGCCCTCTGACCCCAGAGGCCCAGGCCCAGCTAGGATCTCAAGTTTCCATGGGGAAGGGAACGAACTGGGCAGGGGGGAGGGGAGGGCATGTGGGCCCAAGGGGCCTGGCCTGGGGGTTGGGGGCAGAGGTAGGGGTTGTGGAGGAAGGGGGTCCCCAAGGCTGGTCCCGGATGCTTTGACAATATCATTGCACTGCTTCTCAGAGCACAGTAGTGCAACCTCGTCAGAGCACCTGCGGCCAGCAGGGGGGACCCCACCACCCCCAATACACGCAGGGCGGGAAGCTCAACCATGGATGGGTGGGTAGGGCCAGAGCCCCTGTCCAGGGCACAGGGAGAAGGGGATCCTAGCGGGGCTGCCGTCCCGTCTTTCCACAGAACCCCAGGCCTTTCCCAGCACGCTCCCGATTGCGGTGGAGACCTCAGACTGGGGGGTAGCTCCAACCCCGGAGCGGAAGCTGACGAACCAGACGGAGGAGGGGGTCACACACAAAGGAGAGGGGCCGGCGCTCAGCCGCAGTCCGATGCCCATTCTCGCCTGGAGAGGGGTGGGTGTAGCCGGACGACCCTGGGCCCCGACTAGGCCCGCGACGCTGGGAGAAGGGTGGCCCCACCCCAGGACGACGCGCCCCTTCCAGCTCTGGACCCCATCCCTGGCCCCTTTCCCCCAAACATGGGCTCCGCGTTCTGTCCTAACAGATTTTTCTGCCCAGCGGCCCAGAGCCGAGCAGAGGAAAGGGGGTGGGGGTGGGGTGGTTCCCGCCCTTCTGGACTCCCCTGCCAGGAAAGGACGCCCGGGGTCCCAGCAGCGCCCCCTCCTCACGTCCCGCCGGGTAAGGACAGCCCGCGCCCCCACCGCACCTCAGACCCAGCTACTCACGCGGACAGACACCTCAGAACCTGGGCAAATCACGGAAGATTGGCGGGAGGGGCTTTTGACCGTGGCCGCCCCGTCGTCCCCATCCGGACTACCCAGCGCCTCGTGGCGCCCTCTCGCCCACCGGCTCCATCTTTAACCCGCTGACAGTCGGAGGGGCCGGGTCCCTGGCTCCTGAGCATAGAGACTCGCTCATTGGTCGGCGTCGGCGCGGGGTTTCGCTTTCCGCACGCCTATTGGCTGAAACTGAAGCGATTTCAAAATAGCTTCAGGGTTCCGATTGGCCCGGCGTGGGCCGAGTCTCTGGCTCCCTGGTTTTAACAATGACTTCTACAAACACTTTCTCCCCATTCATAACTTATCAAAAGGAACTTTGCCCGCCTTTTCTCAGCTCCAATCTCTGCGAGTTTTCGAGCGGCACAGGCGAGAGCTCTTGAAAGCCCGGTGGGGGGCGCCAGGCGACCCTAGGGAAATGCCCGAGCCCCCGGCCAAGCCCTCCGAAGAGTGAGACCATAGGCTCCTGCATTTTGCATGTGAAGATTGCTCCCTGCGCCTCCGGGATGGGAGATTCGAACGCGACGGGCTTCCAAGCTGGGGTAGCCACACACACCCCGCTCCACCCCCCACCCACCCCCACACACACACTCAACCTCACCGGATCGCCCAGTGGGATCTCAGTGGGGCTTGCCTAAAACCTTCCGGGTAGGGCTGGGCTGCGGGGGCCCGGTCCCGGAACCGGTGGAGCCTTGCGGATCTGTGGGAAGTACGGGGAAGGGGGTGTTGGCTTGGGTCCCCGCGTGATTGCGATCCATTTTTGTGGATAAGCATTTACTAAGCGCCTACCCTTGGCTAATGATGGGGAAGGATATACGTCACCGCACAGCTCTCGCACAGCTCCTGGCAGGAGGAAAGAGGGTGCACTTAGGCTACTGTGCATCTGGCCCCCTCCTGTTTTATTCTCAGTCCAGTGGCTGACAGCAAATGTTTTTGAGGCAAGTAAAGCCGGTTTTGAATCTTTACGAACTTCAGTTGCCTTCTCTGCAAAACTGAGATGATAATCGAACCTGCTTCATAGGACTGTCGCCAGGACCAAATGAGATGCTGTGTAAATCGTTGGCTCAGAGCCAGGCACTAAGTAAGCGTTCTATAAATATGAATTCTGCTGCTGCTGCTGCCGCACTTTTTATCTTTGGTCTTGTCCTGAATTCTGCCTGGAGCCACCTTACCTGCTCCCGGGGATTCCGACCTGCTGTGCGCTGTTGGGTTCTCTTCTTAATCAACATTCCTCACCTTGCTGTATATGTGTATGAGGTGGTAGTGGGTAATAAAGGCATGAAAGGGGCTTACAGCCCAGAGGGGCTGGGAATGGACTACAGGAGTGCCCCCTTGGATCTGGAGGGCGCAGTCCACACTGTTGGTGCCCCACCCGCATTTTCTTGGCACTCACTTCTGCAGAGAAGTTCGTTACCAGCATCTACGGCTCTGCCTGGGGTGGGGTGGGGGCTATCAAGGCTGCAGGAGCCCCTTACCCAATGTAAACGGCAAGTGCTGCAGAGTAATTCCCCCCACCCATCCAGCAATCCTCAGCCAATGAGGGAAGACACCTTCATTGGTGGGTAAGTACCTGGCTTCCTTGTCCCTCCGGTGGGATAAATTTGATGCATGTTCTGCACTGGGTCCCAGAGATCCCCAATGGGACTGAACTCCAGTTGCCCTTCACTGGCTGTCCTCCCTTTCCCTCTCACAGCCCCACTCCTCTGCCCCAGTGTTTTCTGGGATCACCTCCCAACACTCTACTTCCATTCGAATCCTCTCAGTTCAGGTGAGTGATGAGAAGTGTAGATTTGTAGATGATGACCAAGAAGTTTGGCAGTGGAGAGACCAGGAGGGGTCTCGTGGGGGAGGGGAGGGGAGTAACGAACCCAGGGCCTACACATGACCCCCCTCCCCTCATACTTCACAATTGGTTAGAGCTTTTCTCCCATCCCCATCCTTTAACAAGGTCAATTGATTTCTCAAATGTAAGGTGTTCTGCCCACATTACTCCAGCCCCTTCCAGTTAGTTGTCATCCCTGGCCTCTCCTTGGACTCCTGTTCTCCTTCAGGGAAGTGGCACCCTCTGCTCCGAGCAGCTTTTTTCTTTCTTTCTTTTCTTCTTCTTCTTTTTTTTTTTTTGGTGGCTGGCAGTATGGGAGTCTGAACCCTTGACCTTGGTGTTATCAGCACTACGCTCTACCCAAGTGAACTAAACAGCCGGTCTCCCCAGCAGCTCCCTTAAACCTACTTACGCCCCACCCTGGCTAAGTTAGCAAGAAGCCTGTAATCTCCGCCATCACCTCTAGAGGCCACCCACACACCAGCAAAGCTAACTTCTTCCTTTATTAGGGCCCTATTTCTTCTGTTTTGGCCTTTAAGATACAATACTCTGACTTCCAAAATTGTGCTTCCTCTTCCAGGAAGCTTTCTCAGATCTCCGCAGATAGCAGTTCTTTGTGGTCGCCTTCCCTTACGATATCTTTTGAAGTTCTGTTCTCTCTTTGGGCCCTTGGAAGGTCATGGTAGGAGTGAGCCTGAGATGCTGAATTCCTGGGCAGGCTGGGGAAGGTGGGTGGGGTGCCACTTGCACCAACTAAAGGAAACCTCTTATGCTAATTTCTGGCAGAAGGGCAGAGTCCTCGCCTGGCCCTTGGCCAAAGACATTTATCAAGACTGCCACAACTGCCAGGAGAGTGGAGTCCACACCTCAATGGATGACAGGGCTAGAGAGCTTATGCCCATCCCACCTGTTAGGGAGTGGGGCTCCCACTCATCCTGCTCTGGGCCCTGGTCCTGCCCTTAACAGGAAGATTCATGAAGCTCAGGTGTGGGGAACTGGGGTCACTTGTCATCAGACCATCTAAGGGTAGACAGGTGGGCTATGATTGCCCGGGGAAGTATTGCAGTGCATGGAAGAGCATTAAAAAGGTATGGACAGCTCAGCAGTCAGGCCATGCTGGAGACAGAGGTTTTGCACTCAGGAAGAGATGGTGAACTGGGCCAGCAATGGCTGGCACCTCCTGGTCACCCCCAGGCTCACAGCAAAACATAAGCACGGATTAACATTCTTTAATCATAAAGGCACTTGAGGACCCCTACAAACCCAAAGTCTCTGCCAAGAGTGGCCCTGCAAACACCCCACCCTGCCACCCTCCATCCACCCATCCACACACTCAGAGTTCATCGTGATCTGCAGAGGGCTCCACGCTGGGCTTGATGAAGATGCCTTCCATGGCCTTCCACGTATTGTGCGTGTTGGCACTGGGCATGCCGTGCACCTCATGCTGCCCACGGATGGGGCTCCCATACTGCTCACCCGTAACCGACAAGAACACAGAGGTGCCCACATGCTGGAAGCGTACAGTAGCCTCACGTTCCCAGTGCTGCCCGGAGCAGCGCACTGCCCACAGGTCCAGGTCGTCACCCTCACCGTCTTCCCCAAAGGCACTCACCTCCTATGGGCACAGGAGGTGGGGGACAGTGGTCATCTCAGAGGGCATACTGAGTCCCCTGTGGCCACTTGCCTGGCCGCAGCACTTGCGCCCAGTGAACTGGGCCTCCCCTGCACCTCCATGAGCCTCAGCTTTCCAAAACTGCAAAATGGGACACCATGACCCATATGCCCATAATCCCCTCCCCAACACGGGCTCTTCAGACATATGCACACCCCATTGTATCTGTCTGTCCAGTGACCCCTGGGCCTCATGGCACTAAGGCCTCCTACTCCATGTTCTCCCAGACCTAACCCCTCTGACCCACCTTCAGCTTAAAGTTAACTCCTCAGGCTGATAGTCAAGGTCACTATTTATCTCAAACTTTTTCTTCCACCAACTCCCCAAAAGCATCCTCTGTTCCATCCCAACCTCCTGAGTTCCAATGACCTCTGTGCCTTGGCACAATCTCTTCCACAGCCCTGGAAAGCCCCACTTTCCCCTCTGTGGCCTGGTGGACTCCTACTCATCCTTCCAGACCCAGCCTGGGTTCCTCCTCCACTGCGGAGTTTCCTATTCCCCACCCCAAAGACTGTGTGGATCCCCTTTCTGGGTCCCACTTGCCCCCAGAAGAGAAGCTATCCACAAGGCTCTCGTGTCCTGTCTCCGTTATCAGCTGGGAGCTCCTGGGGCAGGACTCTGGCAGAGTCACCTCTGTGTCCCCAGAGGGAGCTCTCAGCAAACATTGCTGCATTAGATTTCCATTTCAGAGACGCTGAAGCTCAGAGCCGGTGAGAGAAGAGTCTCTGGAACCCAAGGCTCTGTCCCTGGTCCCTCACACACACGCCAGGAGCCTGTCCTGGACGGCAGGAAGGGGCTCACCTGGTTGTCCGACAGTGGCGACGGGAAGTGGTGCGTATGCAGGTTCTTGCCGGTGAGCACGTGCGTGAGCCGCACCGCCTGCCCGCAGCGCACTGGGGACCCGCGCGGGCACCCGCCCTCCGAGCCGCCGCGGATCCGCCAGTAGCTATTGGCGTCGTCCGACGCCTCCACGCCGGTCACCGACTGTTGGCCGCTGCCTGCGGAGTGACACCCCACCCCACCCCAGTCTCTGTCAATCGTGGAACTCCCAACCCTCGTCCCAAACACCATAGACTTTCCCTCGGGACTCCAACGGCACAGCCCCAGCCCCCAGCCTTGGCCCCAGGCTGATCCCCTAAGCCCTTTGGCCCGCAGTCCCCCGACGACTGTCCCCGTCCTGATATCCTGACGACCATCTCAAACTCCCAGTCCTTGCCTCCCTTGGCCCCCCAACAACTTGAGACCCCCGTCCCGGCTCCCTGACGGCCCGCAGACCCCCCGACCACCCCGCCTCCAAACCCCGAG